CCAAGCCTTCAATGACCAGGGAAAATCAGAATTGAAACATCTTATGGGGTCTTTATGTGCTGCCCATCTATGCTCCATAGCACAGTATTTTTACTCACGTGGGCTCCCATTCTCCTGTACGTTCCCATAGATTGATTTCAGTGTGACTTGGGTTTTTAAACAGTGTGAGGACTTGGACCCTGTCTGCTTTAAAAATTCTGCTAGCTGTGTGTTTTTGAGGAGTCTTGTAAGGGCCCCCATCACCAGGACGTCCCGCTTTACTGGAGCAGAGCTCTCGGCAGCTTCCCGTGCAGCTGTGTGTTGGCAGAGGCCTCCCCAGGGGAGCCACCAAGCCTTATGATAAACATACACAGCTTTGCCTCAAGTCCTCCCTTGCTGCACAGGGATGTTGGTCCCAAATCCTCATTTCCCAGAACGTTCTCCTCTCCTTTCTCTTATCTGTAACCTCTGTTACAGTCACCAAACGGCACAGAATGGCTAAGGCTGGATGGGATCTCTGGATCCGTATCCCTACACAAGCAAGGACACCCAAAGCAGGTTGCCCAGGACCATGCAAAGGTTTTTCCCAATTGGTAAAGAAAATAACAAAGACATCTTACAGGCAGTATATTTTTACTGGATGCCTTCAGTTCGTCTTCAGGGTGGCTCCACTCACTGTCCGCTGTGAGGTGGGGACCTAATAGAGGCTATTAGGCTATTATTTTGAGAGATCTCGGAGGCTAGGGCTGATCTATCTGTGGATCTGTTGCCAAAAATTGGGATAATCTGTGAGAAGAAAGATCACCGTGGACATGCTGTTGCCATGCCATTTTCCTTAGGCCAGAGGTCACAGCCAGAAACAGGATTCTGGCTCAACTAGACCTTTGTTCAGGTGGTTGCTGACTTGTACTGAGCCTCTTGGAACATGCAAGTGAATAATGCATTATTTTAAGTGTTCAACAAATCAACTTTTTATTGGATGCGTGTATGTTTTCTCATATGTAGAGAAGGATAATTGCTGTACCTTGGAAGGATTTGTCTGGTCTGTATTTCACAGAGCTGAAGCGAACTCTGAAGACACTGACTTTGAATGACCTTGCTTCTTTTTGTGACTCACCCCAAAAGCTACTTTCCCGTAGGTTTGTTCTGAGAGATTAAGAGAGGTTCGTTTGCACATAAATGCTGATCTACATGTTTTTGTATTACCTTAACCAAGGCAAGCTCTCACGTTTTCTTTTGCTTATCCATACTATATGTGATATAGATTGAAAGTTAAGTGTTATAGCACTGACATGCAACACATGAATATAACCTAATTCATAATTATCTCCTCACTTTCTCAGCTGGCTGTCCTACCCTTCAGTGTGGCTGCTACCTATATATTGTGGAACGAATGGAGCTGAGGTCAAGGCCCTCGTAGCTGCTCCACAAAATCTGTCTGCCATGAACTTCATGGGTCGGCCCCTTGCCCTTCAGCTGGTGAGTGTAACATGCCCTTCCACAGACTGATAGAGTGCACTTAGGAAATTAAACTTCATGTATGAGTGAGTGAAAGAGATGGGGGCAGTGCGCTGGAAGCTGGTTCTCAACCACTCCCTGATTCACAAGCTAGCCACAATTACAAGTTTAGGCAGCCTGGGAGCTGTTTCAGCAGGCATCGCGCTCACCAAAGAACCAGCTGCTCATAGCCAGAGAAAATGTGCCATGGCCGTGCTACCTCCAGCCTGCCTGTCCCAGCTTGTCCCTGCACAGGAGGTGCTGGGGTGGTGGTGAGCACTGAGGGGACCAGTGTTGTCTGCTCCCGATCCTTCACCGCCTTCTTGCTGTTCAAGGCTTATAAAGGGAAGGTGGAATAGCATCTGTGCTTTGTTCTTCAATCTCAGACACTGCTAAAAAGTATTTCTAGTGAGGGTAAATACGCATTAACTTCAAAGGACACCTTGTTTCTCTTGCTAATTTTACAGCGTTCCTGCTCAAAGCTCCAGTTTCCTCTTAGTTAAAGTCAGATTTAAATCCTGTTGCTATTCACTGACTAATCCTGTTGACAAGCATGACGTACGGAGAGTATTTTCTTAGTAATAGTTAAGATGATTGTGTATTAGCAAAGGGTTAAGAAAGGTAAGAAAGTCACTAAGGGTATGCTCCTTTTCTTCAAGTGTATGAACCACAGAGAACTGGGCTGGGTTTTCTCACATTATTGCAGGCTATAAATGTCCCTATATTTCAATAAGAGTTAAGTGCAACAAGTAAAGCTCCCAAACCTGTGCTACACCACAAACATATAAAGATAGTAATTTTTAAAAAGCAAAGGAAAGGAGAAAAAAAAAGAATAATAAAAAAAAAAGAATAACGCAAACTTATCCTGTCCAGAGGTGGCTTCCAAGATGTCAGACATTTTGTAAACCAGAGAACACATCCAGACCATGCAAAATTGGGACAGTCCTGTCTTTTCCTGTCTGTTAATTTTTCCACTCCGAAAGTGTCCAAAACTCTATGAAAGAGAGGATTACTGTCTAGGGGTTCAGAAAGCCCTATTTTCAAAGAATGGTTTATTCTGACAGGTAACCTCAGCAAGTGCACAGGTTGTTCCATTAAATGTGAGGTCCCTAATCTCAAAACGTAATTCAACGACTTGAAACCAACTGCTTATTTTTCTTTTTTACCAGTGTTCACAGTGCTGCTGTAGCCCAGGGTTTAGATCAGTTATTTAGCTGCCTACACCTGGTTTACAAGGGAGAAAAGGAAACCCAGTTTGGTTTAGCGTGTAAGTAATTCTATTCACTCTTCTGCTGCTAAATCACTGCACGAGTGTGAGCAAACCACTCGGCTCTTCCTCTCCTTCCCCTTATTCAAATTTACCCCGTTGATCACTTGCAATATGACTGTAATGAAGATTAGCCCATGAATATGTACGGAAAATTCTGGAAGCTCTGTTGAACTGAGGTCACAGCAAGAAGTCGGAGTGTGGAGATGAGAATTGAGTATTCCTGCAAGCTTTCTGGCTGTGAAAAAAGACATGGAAAAGTCCCCATGATTTTCTATCTGGAGCAGCTAGAAAGAAACAGATATGGTCCCCAGCAGAAGTGTGAGCTGAGGTTCCTCTGACATGCCACTGACTTGACAGCTCCTTCAGGCTCAGCTGTCTTCTGGACTTCTTTCAGTTGCAAAACGTGCTGAGCTAGAAGTAGGAAAATAGAAAATGATGACTTCAAACTTCACCACACCTAAAATCTCAGTAAGTATTTATACTTCCAGCGCTTTTTTTTAATACCCCCATCTGTGTTTTACTTGGTTCACATGTTCAGGTTATTCTCTAAGCTTGTGGCAAAACTTTTACATATATATAATATATATATTAATGAAAGCTCACTTTGTTAGCTAATCTCCAGCTATTGGGAACTAGATCCTTCCACAAAACGTAAACGCACAGCAAAGCAATGAAACCAGCCACAGTCAGTAAGTAAACTGGGCATCCTGCTTTCAGAGTTATTAGTGTCAACATTTTGTTGCGTTGTTTTAGAGGTGTTGAGGAACTATTTCCCCAAGTGATGTTGGGATCCTCCATGGGGGCTCCACATCTCTGTACTTCAGGCATCTCACTTGAAGCAGCCAAAAACTGGGTCAAGGCACTGCTCCAAAATTTTAGTGGTGAGCCTCCAAAATTCGAGACACTCGGGGAATGTGTGTTGGGAATAATCTGAGAGCACTGGGGGAGAAATAGTGATGGAGAAGGAGTATTTAGTTTGTACCAAATATTGATATTTCAAAATTTGGTACTGCCAGTTTGGAACAAAGCACACTGTCTGTTTTTAAACCCCTGTGAAAGTTGGGCCAGTTGCCTCTGAGCTTCAGACACTGTCTGAACCCATAGGTTCCTGACTTGCCACAAGGCATTCCATATAGCTGGCTGCTTTGAATCTGCAGGCACAGGGAGTTTTGGATGCCGGCTTTCGAGGAGTCTCCCCACTGGGTTGCACTGGAACCTGGAATTGGAGAACGTGGGTTGGCAAGAGCTGAGGTGTCTGGGAGCTGCTGAGCAGCCCCGCAGGCTTCCCAAATTCTGCTCCCCATCATCCCGTCTGGGAGGACAGAGGAAGCTGGGAAGCGTTTCTCAGCTCAAAACCTCAGAATTTGGGAGCCGGGCCCCTGAAACTTTCACCCCCTGTTCCTGGACGGCTGCTGCTTGCAGCTGGAGCGCAGAAAGGCGAACCGGCCTCGGCAGAGGCACCTGGTGGCTCTGCAGGTGGCCCCAGGCTGCCGTGCGCTGCTCAGCACCATTTTGGGACGATTTATCACAGGATCAGAGCACCGAGGAGCGACTGCTCGTATTCGGATGGGCTCCCTTTCAGCATGAGGGGCAATGCTGGAGGCCGGGCAGAGAGACAGCTCCTTCTGCCCAGCAGTGGAAAAGGAGGAGCTGGACATTCACCTGAATGCCGTCCCGAGTCAGTCAAAGCCAGAGCCTCTAGCAAAGCACCTAGACCTGAACACACAGCAGTTCTCTGACAAAAATATTCCGTCTGAGAATTTCTGACCAGGTCTGGTGGTAAACAGGCTCAAACGACGCTCTGGAGATGATACAGGGCAAAAATTATTCGGGTCCCCGGTCTGCAGAGTGGGAGGATGAGGAAAGAGAAAAGTAAATCGAAGGGGTTGAAACCGCCGATTGTCCGAGCCTGACCGAGTGGTGCTCAGCCGTGCGGAAAGCTGTGTGGAAAGACGCGTGGCAGCTGTTTGTGTTATTTTTCTTTTTTTCCACAGAAAGCAGCCGCCGCGGGAGCCGCATCCCCGCAGCCACGGCTGAAGGTCCCCGCACTGAGGGCCGCTCGGAGGGGCTTTGAGGCTGTGAGGCCGCGCGCTGCTCTGGGGGCGCCTTTCCGCGGCGCCGTAGCGGGGCTGAGAGAGGAGAGCCGAGGGGCCCCGGCCCCGAGCGGGGAGGGGGGAGCGGAGTTCCCGGCGGGCCGGCCGCCTCCCCGCCCTCCCCCGGCGGCGTGAGCGAGCGTGTTTGGGAGGGAAGGAGGGGGTGGAAGCCGGGCCGGGGCGGCCAGCAGGCAATTTGCATGAGAGACAGACTGGGAATGAGCTGGAGTGGGCGCCTCTCCGCGCACACAGAGCGGGGCAGGAGGGGGAGGAGGAGGGAGCTGCCGCCGCCGCCGCCGCCGGGGAGAGGCGGCGAAGTCCGGGCAAAGTTTGGTGCCGCGGGCCCGAGGCGCTGAGGCGGCGGAGAGCGGCGCGGGGCCGGGCGAGGCCGCCGGGGCCGGGCTTTGTGCTGCCCGCGGGGCCTGCGCGGAGCGGAGCGGAGCGGGGGGCGGTGGGGCGCTGCCGGCAGAGCCAGCATGTCCTCCATCCTGCCATTCACCCCTCCCATTGTCAAGCGGCTCCTGGGCTGGAAGAAAGGGGAGCAGAACGGGCAGGAGGAGAAATGGTGCGAGAAGGCGGTGAAGAGCCTGGTGAAGAAGCTGAAGAAGACGGGGCAGCTGGACGAGCTGGAGAAGGCGATCACCACGCAGAACATCAACACCAAGTGCATCACCATCCCCAGGTAGCGGCGGGGACGGCGGGCCGGGGCGACCCGCGGGCGGCGCTGCGCTGCGCCCCTCCGCGCGGTTATAGGGAGGAGAAAGGGGCGGCGGGGTGGGAGCGCTGTGTGATAACGGGAGGGGGGAAAATGCGAGGGGACGAGGGCAGGAAAGAGCTCTGCAATTGAGATTGAAAAAAAAAAAGAACAGCAACAAAAAAAGTTGGGAGCGCTGTGGATAACAGCTCTGCGTATTGTAGGTACCCGTGGTCAGAAGTTTCAGCGTGTTCTCCGGCGTTGTTAGGGGAAGATCTGTTTATTTTTTATAAACTATCAGGAAAATGGTTTGTTTGGGTTGCTTGCTTGTTTCCATGTTAGCTAGATGGACGTTGCTCAGAGAGGTGATTGAGAGCCCTGCTGTGTGTGCGTTTTCCAATGGCTTTTTAGATTGGGAACGCAAAGGGCATCGCTGAAGGGGATTGTTTGGAGTGCCGAAGGGTGAATATAACCAATGTATACACATACTACATTTTGCGTTAATGTAGATTTTATTTTTAGCCTTCATTCTGAGCTCTGTATTATAAATCACGTAGAATGTGTGTGTAAGTATCCCATCAAAGAAAAATCCTGCACGTAACTTTCAGCTCGCTGGCCGCAGGCGGTGCTTTATTGCTGAGGGTTTGTTGATTTCAGTGAGCAGGGCCAGATGACTGCTGGGGCTGTTCTTGGTCGTTGTTTGAGGGGTATTTTTTGGTTGCTGTTTGAAACACAGGCCAAAGTTCATTGCAAATATTTGAATGCTGCATAATTGTGTGCTTCTGCGTGAGAAGATAGCTGTGTGTGTGTGTATTCATGCCTCTCTCGCGCAAACAAATGTATGCTTTCTTGGTTGTCAGAATGATTTAATATGCAGTAGCTAATACAAAGCAGCATCTGTTGCATGAAAAAGTGAAGCAAGTAGCTTAGAAATGTGGGCATTTGGAACTCTGAAATTTTTCTTCCAGCAACCGTAGGGTGGTTTTTCTTCTGTTGTCGTTTTGTTTTTTGTTTTTTTTCAACAACAACAACAAAAGAAGTCTTCTGATATTTTAGTGCTGAATGAGCATGGCTGAGATTTTACACTGAATAGATCTGGACCCTTACCTTTCTTAGTTAGCGTTATTCTGGCTTCCTCTTCTAGCTGAAGAGTAGAGCTGCCCCTGATAAAAAATGTAGTAAAACCTCTATTTCAAAATTCTTGGTAAGCACTGTGCATCCCTCACAGATAATGCCCTATCTAAACCACTTCCCTTAAATACCTCTTCGGAAGAAGAAAATGACTTGAGCAGCCCTGCTGATGTGACTGTGGTATTGTGCCTCGTTGCTGATGAGCAGAGCATGAAGTCTGCAGATGATTCTTCTATTAGCAACAAGGTGTTGTAGCATAAAGGAGGGAGAGTTTGGTATTTTGTGATTGAAAGGAGGCAAAGCGATGGGTGGAGTGGGATGCTTTAGTTGAGAAAAATAATTGTGAAGCTGTAAAATAAGTAACAATGCAAGCAGATGTCACAAGTCGTAAATATTATCACCTCCAGAGATTGTCCTGGAAGGGCCTGCTGTGCAGAAGCGATTGCTTCTCATGGACTGTGCTCAGCTAAAAGAAATGTGAACAGAAATTGTGTCATTTCATACTCACTTGTAAGACAGAACCCAAATCCTGTATGTCTTAAACCTTGGTGCTGGGGGGGAGTATCAGCACATTCTGACACGGGCTCCTTTGGTCTTGGTTTTAGATTTTTAACATAACACTTCCTGTGTACATTTGTTGTTGTTTAATACCGGCATTACAGAGATGCAAGTGGTGGTTGTTAAGTTGCTTTGTTCTGGGCCCCTCAGAAGCAGCAGCGCAGTGAGAGGCTGATGCTTTAGGTACCAGAGACTGGGGAGTGTCACCAGGCAGTTTGGCTGGGAGGGATGGCAAAGCTGGAGCAAGGCCTGTGACTTTGGGCCGTGTCCTCTCCTCAGGACTGTGCTGTTTGTCCTGATGTATCTGCAGATCTGGTCACCCTGTCACTCCAAATTAGCATTTGTAGGACAATTCTAGTATGGCTTTAGTATTTTCTTTTAAAATAATACTACACATCTTGTTTTACTGTTTAGGTAAACAAGTATGTTGAGGGGAGGCAAAAGGGGGAAAAACATCATTAAGGATTAGATCATGTTGTGCATTGTCTGTAATGCATCAGTAGGCTGAATTGCAGTGGAGCCATGCCAGCGATGACTCTGGCCCAGCAGGAGTAGGGTAAGTCCAAAATTAGCTGTTGTATCCATGAGACAGAGCAAGTTTCAGATGTAAAAGTGCTCAAGCTTTGCAGTAACATTGCTTGTGGGTCTAAGGGCTATGCAGCAGATGAGCTAGCACTTCAAATTCCTGTAGTGACAAGGTGGGACTGAATGCACGTATTAAGAAAGAACAAGAAAAAGGAATACATCAATTGTTGTTGCAGGGCTGTGGAATTAGGAGGCCACATTTGTTCCTGCTGTCATTTTTATCAACTTGGAACTGGAAATAGGCATGTTTCTCAGTATGCAATCTCCTGATAGTTTATATGATGGATAGAATCATAGAATCATAGTTTATAGATAGTTTATAGATGAATTGATAGGCACACCTCCCACCCCAGGTTCCTGTTGGAAGGACATGTGGCATACAGCAAAAGGCTGGAGAGACCCTCACGGATCTCAGCACAGGTGCTGGCAGGATTCTTTCCCTTTTGTTTTTTTTTTTCCTGCTGCAGCAGGAAGCAATTTCCACCTGAAAAGCCTCAGACCACGGGCTTGCTTCACGTTGCCAGTGCCTGGCAGAAGGGTTTGTTAGAGGGCTGTGTGTTGGAGCACTGCTGCTCCACAGCCCATCCTGCTCCACAAGGGAGCTGTCTGTAAACCTGTGTGTGCTGAGCTTTGGTGCTGCGAGCTGACCTAGTGAGGTGTAGCAAGCTGTGTCTGCATGGCAGCAAAATAACTCTTCATAGTACTGCATGCTGTGATAAAAACACACGCTCTTTTGACCATTAAAATACACCCTTTGTAGTAGTTGGGTTGATCTTGAAAGCTCAGCTCTCAGGATGGGGATTTTTACTGCTTTCTGGACAATGCTGAGGATGGAGTTCTGTTAGCACATACCCCAGCACAGCCAGGTGTTCGAGTTTACGGCCTCTCTGCTTTGCTCTGTGAGCAAGCTTAGATCTGTTCCAGCTGCTATCAGATGTTTTGAAGTTTTGATAGCTCTCTCTGCTTCTGAGACCAGATGTGGTGAACTGGGAATTTGCTGGCAGCAAACCCGACAGCTGGCACTACCTGCAGAACGTGAGTGCATCCCTGTGGACTTCATGCCTGGGTGAAGAGCTGTGAGTTTGTGGTACTATTTCTGACCTGAAGAGAGGCCATGCTGTGCTCTTGGCAAACCATGCACGTTTTTCTCAGAAATAGTGCATTAGCCTGAACTGTGAGTGTTTAGCAACCTGAATAGGGGTCTGAACTGTGAAAGATGGGAACATGTGCTGAGTGATTACTAATTTCTGAGAGCTGTGTGATATATGTAGTCCTGCATGTGTGGCAGGAGGTAGCGAATGCTTTGTTCTAGGAGCATTAGTGGTACTGTACATTAAGACATAAACTCATGACATTCTGAGATATATTTTCATATATATATATATTTCTGTTAAGCCTATTACTGTATTTATTTTTTTATATCACCGGTGGTTTTATAGGAGCCAGGATTCTTGTATGTAAGAAATACCTTCTTTTAAGTGGTGTTTTTTTAAATTTAGAAACTAAAATTAGCCGTTTTTGAAGAGAGGTGGGTGTTATTTCTTGTGGAACTCATCTGATAAGGATAGAGTGTACCAACTAAAATGGAAATGAGGCACTTTTGTTTAAAAAGTGAAAAAAAAAAAACCTGAACATAGTGTTCCTTAAATGATTTGCTTTTCAGTAGGGAAAACCAGGAAGAATAAAGAAGCGATTTTAGGAAGATCTTCAGAGTGAACGTAATTGTTGTGTTGAATGCTGACTGCACAGTATTTATAGGAGTTGACCGTGGTCTGAGGACTGCCTTCATACCAGGAAAATAGGAAAACTGCGCATAGAGAAAGTGGCAGAGGCACTTCTCAGGACTGTGAACTCTTCTTTTGAGGCTGGCATCTGTCTAGATTCAGCACCAAGCGAAGGACCAGTCAGTTTTGTGCGTTTGTGCACACCGTTGTATTTTCTATGGCAAATTTAAGCTGTCTCATTTTCAGTACAGCCTGTCGGTGTTCATGGGACGTGCATACGTAGCTTTACTATTGTGCAGACTGCTTTCAGGCTGCCTGCTCTCAAGTTGAGCTTGGCCTGCAGTGGGGCATTGGTTGCAGCTCAGTCCTTTGGGCATGCAGTCGAGCTGCCTTGACGTTTGCTGGCTCCCAGCTGCAGGTAATTTTACTGGCACACCGCTCTGCTGACCTCTATACTGAGCTAGCTTTATGGGCAGGCTGTTGTGGCCCTGCCCTAACCTTTGTGCTGTCACTGCCACGCTGCTGCCACGTGAGTTCATTTGGCTGTGGTGGTGGTGGCTGCAGGGTGGACGCGGCACCCGGTTTGTTTGTGGCTGGCCTTTGTGCTGTTGCTGTGACTTTGCAGATCAGGTCTAGTGGTGAAAATACAGCAAGTACACGGACTCAGCCTTCAGTTCAGTGTACTTTCTACCTGCAGTCACACTTATTCTTCGGTACCCTCCTCCTCCTCCATTCACCACATGTGTCGGGTGATGCTGAAACTCCTCTCGAGCACAGGGCAGTATTTGTGTAAGATATAGATGGGTCAGTGGGGAGGAAAAAATGTGTATTCTACCATTTGTAGAGATGTTCATGGGTGTTCATCTCTCTGCCTTTTTTTCTTTTTCCTTCTCTCGTGGGACTGAAATATTTAAAGTAGCTTCTGGAAGGACTCGTAATATTCTCATTATGTTGTGTAGTAAGTGGTGAATCTTTGTGAAATAAAATGTT